AAGGACACCCAGTGGGTTTCATGGCTGAGTTGGGAATCAAACTCTGTTCTCCAGAGTCACCGTCCAACACACAAACCACTACACTATACTGGCTCCATAAACTGTTATATCAATTTCAAATATTCAGGGTGCCTTCCATGCATGATGGAACTAGACTCCCTATATCAACCCTGTAAGGTAGAACAGTATTAGCCTTCCTCTATTGCAGATGGGTAGATTCAGAAAAGAACTAATGGCTTGCTTAACAGCACCTATAGGCAGCTGCAGGTGCGATTCAAACCTAGGACTTTCCTGTTTCTCAGCCCTGTCTTTTAGTGTCTATACTACATATTATAATATTGTACAACTAGACTATAAAAAGATGTCTAAATGCCCTAAAGACACCAGATCTCCCCTGATCATGACAGCTAAGCAGGGTCAGCTCTGATTAGTACTTGGATGGGAGACTGCAAACAAATACCATTGTAGGCTTTATTTCAAAGGAAGGAACCGGCAAAAGCACCCCTGAGCACTCCTTGCAAAAGAAAATCCTATCAAATTCATGAGGTCACCATAAATCGACAGGTGGCTTGAAGGCACAGACTATAAAGAAAAGAGCAGTGTTGACCATGACTTGTCAATTTGAAAGCAAATACTAAAATTAAATATGAGAACAAAAACCTTAAGCATAGCTATGAAGGAGTTTCTGTACTGATAGGAGATCCCACAAACCATGAAGGAAAATATGGGCTCCTCCCCCAAATGTTATGCTCCCCAGATATAATACACTGAGATTGCACATTTACCCTGCCTTTGATTAAACAAAAACAAACACACACATACAATTGTCCCTCCCTGTTTGCGGACTTCATGGTCTTGCTCTTTGCAAGGAAGGACAAAAGCTATACCTAAAATGGCTATATGCACCTGTGCATGGCCCCATGTGCGTGCCATGGGCACATGCACCCTTAGTTTCAATGATGCTCTAATATTAACAAGCCACCATTTTCGCAGGGGGGTGTCGGAACGGATCCCCTGCAAACTGGGAGAGGCAACTGTATACACACCCTCAAAATACAAGTGGGCACTTCAGTAAAATATAAAAGCATTGCAGTTAGGGCCCAGCCATTTATGCCCATTGTCGTATAGTGGTTTGAGTAGTGGATTACAACTCTGGAGACCAGGGTTCAATTTCCAGCTCGACCATATAATCCACTGGGTGACCTTGGGCAAGTCACATGCTCTCAGCCTTAGAGGAAGACAATCACAAACTTTCTCTGAACAAACCTTGCCAGGAAAACCCCAGGATAGGTTCGCTGTAAGTCAGAAATGATTTGAAGACACACAGCAACCACAAAGCGAAGGCCACGCTCATAGGACTGAATCTATACAAAACCGCCGCAGAAAGAAACCAATGCATTTATATCTTTTCCCCATCCATCCTGGTGATTTCCTACCTTGTAACTTTCAGAAACCTCATAGACAGGGAGCACATTGTGGCCTTGGTGTTCCATGGACCTGTCGCACTTCATGCAAACGAGAACTTCGTCCTCCTTGCAGAAAAGCTGGAAGGGCTCCTGGTGTTTCTCACATTCTCCCCTCTTTCTTTTTGCTACTTGCTTCTCCTGAAGCTCCTTGATATGCTCCACCATTCGAGCCAGGTGTCGGTTGACCATGAAGCTTTTCTCCACAATCATTGCTCTGCACTGAGGGCAGGGAAACGGTCCTCCAGATACCGTCCTGTGCTGCCCGAGGCAGGCTTGGCAGAAGTTATGCCCGCACTTGGTAGTCATGGGACGTTTGAAGTAATCCAGGCAGATGGAGCAAGTAGCTTCTTTGCAGAGAGCCTGGATTGGGACCTCTGCTGCCATGGCTGCCTGTTTTTGGAGCAGGAGAAAAACACTTGAGTTGCATGTGATCTGAGTGTTGGACTGTGACTTTGGAGACCAGGGTTCGATTTCCAACTCAGATTGTAACTATCATGTCTTTAAAGAAAACAAGTTTTCCTGTTTTGTAAAAGAATGTAAAAGAATAGGATCTAATGCAGGGGTAGGCAACCTTTCTCCTTTAAGTGCCGAGGGACTTCAGCTCCCAGAATCCCAGGAGCTATTGGCCAACATGGGACTATTGGCCAACATGGCTGAGGCTTCTGGGAGGTGAAGTCCCTCAGCCCTTAAAGGGGAAAGGTTGCCTACCCCTGATCTAATGGAATGGAATGGAATGGAAAAAGATCTAAAACAGGGGTAGGCAACCTTTCCCCTTTAAGGGCCGAGGGACTTCAGCTCCCAGAAGCCTCAGCCATGTTGGCCAATAGTCCCATGTTGGCCAATAGCTCCTGGGATTCTGGGAGCTGAAGTCCCTCGGCATTTAAAGGGGAAAGGTTGCCTACCCGATCTAAAAGGAGTCTTTTTTTTTCTGTGTTTTGTCCCAACATGTCTTTTTAAATATGTTTTTTTTGTTTTGTTGCTGTTATTTGTTTTTGAATTACGTTTTCTACTGATGTGTTTTAACAAATAATAACAACAACAACAAGTTTGAGTTTTCAAAGTTGTAGATATAATAGTAAGTTAACAGGGCATGCATGAGAGTCACTGTGGTGTGGTTGTTTAAGTGTTGGACTATGACTCTGAAGACCAGAGTTCAATTCCCAGCTCAGCTAGGCTAACCCACTGGGTGACCTTGGGTGAGTCATACTCTCTCAGCCTCAGAGGAAGTCAATCTCAAACCTCCTCTGAACAAACTTGCCAAGAAAACCCCATGATAGGCGTGCCTCAGGGTCTCTATAAGTCAGAAATGATTTGAAGGCACATAATAGCAAAGAAACAACAGCATCAGGGGTAGCCCTAACATTTAGAGTTACCAGCAACCTGGTAACCCCAAATGTTTTAGGCCAGTTTCCTGGGCTCTCTCTCTCTCTCTCCACTGTCAGAAGTACATCTAGTGAAGGAAGACACAGAGAGGGGCTGATCTGAGATACCCTTCCTAGGGAAGACAGACTGGTTCCCTTCTTGCTATCCTACCTTATTATCACAGATGATTACTTAGGGCAGGGGTGGGCATATGACTGCAGGGAGATTTCTGTGGGCCCACTCCCAGGACCCCTCAAAAGTCAAAACAATTGGGGAGGGCAACAAATTCCCCCCCCCCAAAAAAAACATTTTTGCTCCAAAATACCCCAAAATGACCTACAGGAGATAAGGAATGTATTTCTATCATGTTTGGAGGCTCTCTGGACATCCCCCTCTGGATCAAAACACACTTTTAACACACAGAGTTATAAGAGACTCCAAGGGCCTTCCAGTTCAACCCCATTTTGCCATGCAGGAACTCACAATCAAAGCATCCCTGACAGATGGCCATCCAGCCTCTGTTTAAAGACCTCCAAAGAAGGAGACTCCATCATACTCCAAGGGAGTGTGTTCCACTGTCTAACAGCTCTTACTGTCAGGAAGTTCCTCCTAATGTTGAAGTGGAATCACTTTTCTTGTAGCTTGCATCTGTTGTTCTGGGTCCTATTCTCTGGAGCAACACAAACCAAGCTTGTTCAATCTTCAATATGACATCCCTTTAAATATTTAAATAAGGCTATCATGTCACCTCTTAACCGTCTCTTCTCTAGGCTAAACATACCCAGCTCCCTAAATCCTCATAGGACATGGCTTCCAGGTGCTTCACCATTTTGGTCATCCTCCTCTGGGCATGCTCTTGCTTCTCAACATCCTTCTTGAATTCTGGTGCCCAGAATTGGACACAGTCTTCCAGGTCAGGCCTGACCAAAGCAGAATTATTACTTTCCTCGATCTCGACCACTGGTACCCATACTTTCGTTCTCTAGGTATTTTGGACTTCAATTCTCAGAAGCCCCAACCAGCTTGACCAGTGGATGACCAAAGTTTGGAACCACTGATCTAGACACTACACTATATTTTGGACTTCAATTCCCAGAAGCCCCAGCCAGCTTGACCAGTGGTCAAGGATTCTGGAAGCTCAAATCCAAAACACCTGAATGACCAAAGTTTGGAACCACTAATCTAGACACTATACTACTATTGAGGCAGCTTGGGATCATACTGGCTTTTATAGCTGCTGCATCACATGGTTGAGCTTGTGGTCTACTAAGACCTCAAGATCCCCTTCACATGGACTCTTGTCAAGCCAGGTGTCACCCATCCTGTATCTGTG